GAACTGATTTGGTGTCACTGACATCCCCAGTGACACCAATACAGTAATCAGTGCTAAAAAAAAAAAAAGCACTGACACTGTACTAATGGCACTGGGCAGGAAGGGGTTAACATGAGCTGTTTTACTATGTGCTGTGTGTTAGTGCTTCACTGTAAGCACACTGCTTTTCATAGCTGTGCTGTGCACAGCCATGCAAAGCAGTGTGCACAAGCTGACAGGGTGGAGAACTAATTTGTTTACAAACAGATCTCCCCGTTGTTGATGCTTGGCCATCACCGGGCACCGGCAAGTAATCACCGGCCAGGACCCGGTGATTGACAGCCATGGCCGCGAATGGCTGTGTGGGTAGAGCACACGCACGCCCCCTACCCGGTGTGATTTTGCACACCCGTGCCGCCCTGTAGCAGTATTTCTGCTATAGAGCAGTTGGGAAGCGGTTAAAGTCAATTCACTAAAGGAAGTAAATAAATAAATGCATGAGTTAAATAAGTAGTGGCCCAGGCATGAGGTATTTAACCACTTGCCTATAGAGCACTTACACCCCTTTTGTACCCAGGCCAATTTTCAGCTTTCAGTGCTGTCCCAATTTGAATGACAATCGCTCGCGCGGTCATGCAACATTGTACCCATATGAAATTTTTATAATTGTTTTCACACAAATAGAGCTTTCTTTTGGTGGTATTTAATAGCCACTGGGGTTTTTATGTTTTGCACTATAAACAAAAAAAGAACAAAAAATTTGAAAAAAAAAATGTTTTTCTTTGTTTCTATTATAGAATTTTGCAAAGAGGTAATTTTTCTCCTTCACTGATGAGCGTTGATGAGGCTGCACTGATAGGCAGCACTGATGGGCACTAATGAGGTGGCACGGATAGGCAGCACTGATGGTCACTGATAGGCGGCACTGGTGGGCAACACTGATGGGCGGCGCTGACTGATGGCACTGACTGGCAGCACTGCTGGGCACTGATGGGTGACACTGCTGGGAGGCACTGATCATCAGAGTGCCTTGATGATCAGTGCCGATCTGCTCTGTGACATCTGCCGGTTATCGGCAGTACTTTCCTCACTCTGTGACAGTGTGAGGAAAGTGCTGCCGATAACCAGCAACAGTATTTACTCAGTTATCTGCTGTGGTATTGATCACAGCTGATCACATGGTAAAAGGCCGCTCTGATTGGCCTTTTACCTCATCATGTGATCAGCTGTCTCCGTAGGACACTGAGTGCGCGTGGGAGTGCACGTTCTGGGATGATGTCATATGACGCCCTCCCAGAACCAGATAACTGCGTTGTAGCCATCATTTGGCTATAGCGAGTTTACCAAGTGGTTAAGGAATGTAAAAATATATTGGCCAATGTGGAGGAGTCTCTACTTTTTTGGATCAGTTTCTCAACAGTAATGCATAGAAAGCTAAATCTGGAAATATACACAATCATCGGGGCTGATTTATGTAAAGTATAACTAAAGGCAAAACTTTTTTTTCTGTTTTGATAGAGTGAAGATAGATTAGACCCCCTGTCAGGTTTTTATTGCGGTCTGTGTCCCCGTTAGGGAGATTCCCCCTTTCTATTTGTCCTGTTTACCATTATCATTGAAAGTGAAGAAAATCCCAAATTTTGTGTTGTCCTCAGAAAAATAATAGACGGAAAAGCTTCCAATGGGGACTTTGGTTCTGAAAGTGAAGGGAAATCTCCCCAATGACGTTGTCTTTTTAATTAGCTGAAAAAGGGTATTTATATATACAGTGGGGCAAAAAAGTATTTAGTCAGCCACCAATTGTGCAAGTTCTCCCACTTAAAAAGATGAGAGAGGCCTGTAATTGGCATCATAGGTAGACCTCAACTATGAGAGACAAAATGAGAAAAAAAAATCCAGACAATCACATTGGCTGATTTGGAAAGAATTTATTTGCAAATTATGGTGGAAAATAAGTATTTGGTCAATATCAAAAGTTCATCTCAATACTTTGTTATATATCCTTTGTTGACAATGACAGAGGTCAAACGTTTCCTGTAAGTCTTCACAAGGTTGGCACACACTGTTGCTGGTATGTTGGCCCATTCCTCCATGCAGATCTCCTCTAGAGCAGTGATGTTTTGGGGCTGTCTCTGGGCAACACGGACTTTCAACTCCCTCCAAAGGTTTTCTATGGGGTTGAGAGGACCTTGAAATGCTTCTTACGAAGCCACTCCTTCGTTGCCCGGGCGGTATGTTTGGGATCATTGTCATGTTGGAAGACCCAGCCACGTTTCATCTTCAATGCCCTTGCTGATGGAAGGTTTGCACTCAAAATCTCACGATACATGGCCCCATTCATTCTATCCTGTACATGGATCAGTCGTCCTGGTCCCTTTGTGGAGAAACAGCCCCAAAGCATGATGTTGCCACCCCCATGCTTCACAGTAGGTATGGTGTTCTTTGGCTGCAACTCAGCATTCTCTCTCCTCCAAACACAACGAGTTGTGTTTCTACCAAACAGTTCTATTTTGGTTTCATCTGACCATATGACATTCTCCCAATCCTCTTCTGGATCATCCAAATGCTCTCTAGCAAACTTCAGACGGGCCCGGACATGTACTGGCTTAAGCAGGGGGACAGGTCTGGCACTGCAGGAATTGAGTCCCTGGCGGCGTAGTGTGTTACTGATGGTAGCCTTTGTTACGTTGGTCCCAGCTCTCTGCAGGTCATTCACTAGGTCCCCCGTGTGGTCCTGGAATTTTTGCTCACTGTTCTTGTGATCATTTTGACTCCACGAGGTGAGATCTTGCGTGGAGCCCCAGATCGAGGGAGATTATCAGTGGTCTTGTATGTCTTCCATTTTCTAATTATTGCTCCCACAGTTGATTTGTTCACACCAAGCTGCTTGCCTATTGCAGATTCAGTCTTCCCAGCCTGGTGCAGGTCTACAATTTTGTTTCTGGTGTCCTTCGACAGCTCTTTGGTCTTCACCATAGTGGAGTTTGGAGTGTGACTGTTTGAAGTTGTGGACAGGTGTCTTTTTATACTGATAACAAGTTCAAACAGGTGCCATTGATACAGGTAATGAGTGCAGGACAGAGAAGCCTCTTAAAGAAGAAGGTACAGGTCTGTGAGAGCCAGAAATCTTGCTTGTTTGTAGGTGACCAAATACTTATTTTCCACCATAATTTGCAAATAAATTCTTTCCAAATCAGCCAATGTGATTGTCTGGATTTTTTTTCTCATTTTGTCTCTCATAGTTGAGGTCTACCTATGATGCCAATTACAGGCCTCTCTCATCTTTTTAAGTGAGAGAATTTGCAAAATTGGTGGCTGACTAAATACTTTTTTGCCCCACTGTATGTGTGTGTGATTTTTTTATACTATTTTCATTCAATTAATTTATAAAGATATTTTGTATTTACTTAATTTAACTTAGTTGTTCTTAATACTCCACGTTTGTCCTGTGAAAGCAGCTTCCCTTTTACTGATATTCTAGTCACCTTTTTTACTTTTGTATGAATAGATATGCTGCAGGGACCGCACTGACTTAGTGAGTTGGCATATTATTATTATTATTATACAGTATTTATATAGCGCCAAAAAGTTTGCTCAACGCTGTACAAAATAGTGGGGGACAGTACATGAGACAATACAGTAACAAAACAATATACGAGGGGTTCGAGGGCCCTGCTCTTTCGAGCTTACAATCTAGGAGATTTCTACAGTTTCAAATATTTTACCTCTTTATTAGCAATAAAAACTGACAGGGGTTCTAATCCTTCTCCACTGATTCCATTCCACTGGATATCACGTCATGAGATAAAAGATCAGGTTTTCATGAGTAAAATACCTTTGATGAAATAACTTATGCTTTATTTTAGTAATGTTTTTTTGTGAATTGCAAAAAAATACTTGAAAAAAATCTATGAGCTATTTTATCTCAGATTTTAAGAGTAAAATAACTCATTGTGAATTGAGCCCTGTGTCCTGTGATTTACGATTAAGAAATCTATATTCTTGAATGTTGCTCCCCCATTGTGCATTAACCCATGTAAGCCTATATAAACACATACAGACTTTTAATCCAAGCAACTTTTGGAACATGAACAAAAAGAGGAACTGGTTAGAACAGAACCGTAGAAAATTGTAAGGACAATTTATGTGTCCACCTAAGACAACACGCAATGGATTAACATCGCTTAGACATCATTTTTTTCCCTTTCCATGGTTATTTAAATGGATAAGCATGACAAATGCCCATATGCATGGTCAATAAACAAAAAAAGATATTCAAAGAGAAGGGAAAAATGACATGTCTGAAAATAGAAGTCACATTTTTTTTTATTACCAATTACAAACGCTGTGTGTATTTAAATTATCCAGTGCAAACACAGCACCCTACAAATTACAAAAAAGGTGCTAAAACACAAACATGTACATAGAAAATTTTAAAATATACATATTACATACAACTGCAGATTCTTTGTTCTGACAAGATAAACCGTGATTAGCCATTACTCTAACACTCTGTACCAGGTAGGAAGCAGTAGAGACATTGGCAGTAGTACTGAATAGTTATCTGACTACATGACCCACTGAGTGAGCTGAACTAACGCAGTTCACAGAATACCAACAGGATTCCTGTATGATTAATGGGCTACCCAAGTATATATGTACCCATATAGCACATAGGCCTATCAAGTCTAAACGACTCTACAGAACCCACTCTCTAAAATGGCAGCAAACACAAATTCAGCTACAGCACGATTAATAGAAACAGAGCAGAGTATTATTTTGAAAGAACAAATTTAAAAGGAACTTTTCAGTATAGGGAGTTGATTTGTTTTTCAAGAAACATGTTTCAGATCCCTAACTCATACCCTTGCTAACCTTGTCAAAGGACTCATCAAACAGTGAAGAAAGGAGAAAGAAGATATCCCCATGACATGCCTCTTAAAAAACAATTCAGCAATGGCAGTCCCCCATATTTCATGCTGACCGATTCCTTATAAGTAATTAAGTGAGTGCATGTAGTTTTATGTCTTCTGCTCTTTGCCTTTGGTAGGAAACATTGAATTGTAGGGAAGTCGTCTTCGTGGTCTTTGACAGGGTGACATTTCCTCTTTTATGTAACCTTTGGGAGAAAGGCAAAGTTTAGTTATTTGTTTGGCTTTAGTTGGGAAAACAAGCTGGCTATTAGAGGTAAGCTTGGCACTGAATAACAGATAAATATAATGGTGCAGAGTGTGGGTGGTGTAAAGAACATCTCACCTCTGTCTTTACAGGTCTGAGTTGAAGGAAAGCCCACTTCCCAGAAATTTTCTGGAGTACTTGGTGGAATGTAGCGGAAACGGTGCCGGGAGCAGCTGGCCAGTTTCTTAGCCCTTTCTTCTTCTGGGAGGTCTGCATAATACTGGTAATAGAAATGACAAAAAAGCCAGTTCCAGGATTATAGCTTCTCACACAAATAAAGTCGTCCTACATTCTTCATAAGCAATTACCCCACGCAGCCAAAATTTAAAATGCTAGTCCTAAAGTACTATGGTTATACAAGGACACTCCAAAGGGAACCATGAGTTACACTAATCTTCAATTTAAGCTTTTCAAGATAATGCTGAATGTTCAAATAGCGAATATAAAACAACTACAGCCCTCATAAGAATAATCAAAACGGAGCAAGAATCACACTGCCATGTTTTATATTCCTAAATAAGCGGGACCTATTCTATGTGATCTATGAAGGGGAAAGGATTTAACAGAGTTTTTCTATTTGGATGGTGAATTAAAGCATATCAAAACTCAAACAGAAAAATGTAATATATTGTAGCTTACTAGTCACATGTTGGCTGCATCAGTTTCTGTCAGGCTTCTTTTCCTTATTTTTAACTTGGTGATGCTACCAATAACACATTTCATGTACTAGGGTGATAACACTTATTCAATTCACTGTGTTTACCCAGGCTGCTATGGTGATTTGCCCTACTAACACCTCTCCCTATACTCATGTTCATTATATAAAGGGGCATTGCTTCTCAGAAGGTAGTCAAGTTGATAACATTGTTTTAGAGTTCAGTTCAGTTCCAAAGACACAAGATTTCTGACAGGTATTTTTCTGTACCTGCAGAATATGTACTTACCCTTAAAACAAATAAAAATATTGCAGTCATCATATCTAAGGACTGGTAAGCTGCAGTTTACTACATTTTTGTTCTTCAGTATGGATATGCTTTAAGAAATATGTCAACACAAAGTGTGCCTGGGCCAACAGTAAACCAATATATCTCTGGACACCAGACTTAAAAGAAGAATCCCTGCAGCTACAAGAATCCAGTTGGACATCTGTGGAAGGTTTTTTGGACAGTATTATTTTTTTACTCTAATAAAAATGCTCCTACGCATAAGATGACGGCATCTGAAAATGGCTGGATAGGGCATTGATCTCATATCAATGGATGCCCTGCAGTGACTGGTAGTCAACAGTTCTGAGAATAAAATAACTGGTAAGAATTAACCTGGTGCCAGTGCAGAAAGGGTGACTACATAAGATCTTAATTTCAATAGCCTAAACCAGGGTTTCTCAACCTTTTTTACTCAAGGCACACTTTACAATTCTGTCTCAAGGCACCCCATTCTAAAATGTAAAGAACGAAACTAAGTTTTACTTAACACTGCAACATCCACACAAGCAGGGCCCCCAATGTTCGAGGTGATTTATTCTTTCAAAGCAAATACACCTTTGCACACTGGTACGGACTAGTATTCAAATGTTTCTCTTCTCCCTCAGTATCTCTCCCTCACTCTGCCAATGTGACCCCAATGATGGCGGAGAGGGGCAGGGAAAAGGCAAACAAGGATGCTGTACAGACACCCGACATACTCCTTATTGAATGATGATGTCATTGGTTGTTAGGACACTGGCGGCTAGAAGGTTGTAGTGGTGCACAATGAAAACTTGTGGCTTTCTGTAACAAAAAGGTAGGCTTGATCCATTCACTGGCTTATATAAAATTTTGTGAAATTTTTTAGGTATTTTGCCAAGGCACCCCTAAAGAAACCTGAAGGTACTCTGGTTGAAAAAGGCTGGCCTAAACACAAACAAAAGAATACAAGCCCATTGATCCCCTGATGTCTATGGAGAACCTGTGGAATAAAAATTATTGGAGAAGTGTCCTTCATATGTGCAAAATCATCACTGCTACCAGACCATTAAGCAGTTGAAGCTAAACTCAATCAGCTAAATACACATATGGGAAATGTTTAAGGTTTTTCCCTGCCAAAAGATTTGTTATTCTATGCAATCCATTTGAGATACAGGCATGCCTACTGCGCAGCACAACCAGATTATTGACCCTACTACAGCTACAAAACAGCTCAGTTAAAGTGTTACTAAACCCAGGACCCCGCATTCACTATATCTGTTCTCCCACAGTACACACAACATGGAAATGCAATTCTTTTAGAAAATATAAACTGAAAAATACATTTCTCATCAGCAGTTAGAGCAGTTGTGTGCTCCAGTAGAGCACTGGTTAAAGTTTCTAGAAGGAGTTTTCATTCACCTCTGATTGTCCTATGAGGCTGCAGGATCCCTGACCCGCTGTCTGCACAGTGCTGATTGGCCCTGTGCTGATCACATGCACTCTAAGGAAAAGAAAAAAAAACCTCTAGCAATACACACCAAACTGAGCATGTGCAGCTTGCCCCCAAGGCTCTGTTCTATCAGGAGATGGATTGGGGACAGTAGAAGAAGGGGAGGATCAGAGAAAACAGAATCAGACATCCTTTTTACACAATGCGGAGAATTAACCCCTTAGATTCCACAGTGAGTATAACAAGCATGCTTTACTGCATATACAGATTGATTTTACTTTTGTGGGTTTAGTAACACTTTAGGGAGTATAAGTCAAACACAAATTAGGCTTGCTGGCTGCACTATGAATTGGCAAGCATATGCCGCCATCCTGCTGCTCTCTCCTATTGAAAGCACATGTAAAATAGACTGAATGGCCCCTAATACTGACCCTTCTTCCCAGTGTGCATCTAGATATACAGAATATGGGAGTTTGTCAACACAAAATTTATAGACTTAGGAGTTAGATTTAAAATACATTTGTTTTATAAGAAAAAAAATCATATTTTTAAAATCTGCCTGGGGTTCAGATTTAAGTGTAAAAAAAAAAAAAAAGGCATGGTGCATTCAGTAGCAATCAGTGCCTTATATGTGTAAAGTATTCTTAGCACTGATTTTACAGAACAAGCTCTCAGGTAAAATATCTTCATTCTGTAAAACTGTATTCATAAGTAGCCAGAATCTCTATAATATGCTTGTTGTCTAGAAATGATGAAACAAATGATACAAAATGCTCTCTAGGCACATAAAAGACCTGCATATTGGAGGACTCATTCTGATACACTGTTTATGGGGATGCTGGATCCATCTGACACTTTCCTGCTCCTCTGCACAGGAGTACTGATTCCCATATCTGGCTCCTTGTGGTCATTTGTCATAGCTCTGGTGGGTTTAATGCTTCCATGGAGACCACGCTCTCTGACTGACCTGTGGTTCCACTGAATACAGCCTGGAAGAGGTAGGTATCTTTGCTATTCAGGAATTCTCTAAACCTGGAAGTGAGTTTTTTGCCATTCAGGATTGATTTTTAGTTAATATGGCCATTATTCCTTGACACTCTGTTCACCAAAAAGGGATCCAAATAATTCAACAGTTCACACAGGTTACCATAGGCAGTGATCTGCCACCTACCATCTCACATTCCTTACAAGTGTGGCCAAGCAGTTTTCTCCTCTCCTCCTTATTGCGCACAACCTCAATATGAGGGAAGTCCGAAGTAGGCTTTTTTCTGAAGATGAAGGCAAGAAAATATTTATAATCCACCAGCAGCAGGCCATTTATCACAACTTCTTAAATGAAATTAAAGCATATACATATAATGCATTTCCCACAGATTTGTGTACAGCAGTAAAGCATAAAAAAAACTTCCCCAGATAATCCAATGCTCAGTTTTCATTCACATATACATTGTCTGAGTGGCACTCTCACTTGCCATACACAGGGCATATAGCTCCATAAAACAATGGCCACTGAAAACAGACACTGTACTGACATAACTGGCCATTGGAGCGAAGGAGTGTACAAAGAAAAGGGGGGAGGATCACCCAGGTCACTCAAAGATTTTCCGCCAAGCTGGAAAATCCGCTATCTAAAATAATTGTTTATAATGCTGGATTTTTATTATCACAGACAATGTATGCTCATAAACAGCTGATTTTTGTCAGAGTATCATATTGGAAGAAGAATTAGGCTATTTATGGCAAGCCTAAACATAGACCTTACAGGAAAGCCAGAAGTTCATATGATAGGGGCATTGAAAGTGACCACACTACTACTGGGAAATAAAACAACAAACTCTGTAAAGTCTGTAACAGAATATAAAGTAAAATGCCTTACTACTACCCAAGATGCAATTAAGTTGACTTTGTTTGGTGGAAAGGTTACCTTTCACTGGTTTGCGCATAAGGCTCCACATATGCCTTCTGTTTCTGGTAAATCACTCCTTTGGCTTGATTCTCTACAAAAAAAAGTTTTAACACAATAAATATTATTACAATATTTCCAGTGGCATCAGTGCAGTTCATCATCTCTTACACACACTTTTACATTGCCATTTATCTGCTATTTAAAAGAGTTTTTTTTTTTAGAAAAAGAGCTTATATTCATTATGAGGTAATAGTGACTGCGGACAGGGCAGTCAAGTACACGCAGGTGCAATTCTTCAAGTAAGGCCAGTTTTTGACTGCTATATAAACATGTAAGGCCTTGTTCATCTATACATATACATGTTTTTACCTACTGAGACAGGAAGCACCAACAGCCGCCTCCAGCTTTATCTGCAGGGAAAAAGTAACTGGACAAGGTTTTCAAAAAAGTCTGCAGGTACCATGGCCATGGTTGAAAAATATAGACAAAAATGACCAGATCAAAATATAGAAAAGCTTGTAACGATGCACAACTTGGCACACAACTGTTAAATGGAATCTTGATAAAGGGGACCAAAGTATATCCACATAATCCTGATTGTAGAAAGATTATGTGTAGGATGCTCCTTTTGTTAAAGTGGTATTAAACCCAAAGCAAACATTTATTATGCTGCAGCCTAACAACGCTTAGATGTGGTGGCTACATTTGTTTTCTTTTATAGGCTTTCTTTCCTTTATTTTCACCTGGTGATCTAGCCAGTCAGTTTGTTTTTTGTCAACCAAACAAGCTGTCCTGCAGATGTAGGAGTTAGAGGTCGAGGCAAACCATTTAGCACTGACAGGGATGCTCACAATGGTCAACTTTTAATTCTGTAAAACCTTTATCCCAAAAGAAAAAAAAAAGTGCTGTAACTGCTTGAAAAGTGTTACCTGGAGTTTGGCTTCAATTTGTTCATGTACAGTTGTGTCCAAAATTATTCAACCCCCCACTGAAATTGAGTGTTTTGGCCAGTTTGACATTGCTTTTGATCATTCAGTCATCTTGCTTACATTTACATTAAAGAGGCACTTGTAGGTCAGACAAATATAACATAACAGTTATAATGAAATAACCACAAATGTCTTTTCTGTGCTCACAGCATTATCAGTTTTATTCAACCCCCAGTGACATTCAATCTTAGTACTTAGTACAGCATCCTTTTACAGTTATAACAGCTTTTAAACGTGAAGCATAGCTTGACACAAGTGTCTTGCAGCGATCTACGGGTATCTTCGCCCATTCTTCATGGGCAAAGGCCTCCAGTTCAGTCACATTCTTAGGCTTGCGCACTGCAACTGCTTTCTTTAAGTCCCACCAGAGGTTCTCAATCGATTTAAGTCTGGTGACTGCGATGGCCACTCCAAAATGTTCCAGCCTTTCCTCTGCAACCATGCTCTAGTGGACTTGGAGGTATGCTTGGGATCATTGTCCTGTTGAAAGGTCCAACGTCTCCCAAGCCTCAGGTGTGTGACGGACTGCATCACGTTTCCATCCAATATCTCCTGGTACTGAAGAGAATTCATGGTACCTTTGCACACGCTGAAGCTTCCCTGTACCTGCAGAAGCAAAACAGCCCCAAAGCATGATTGACCCTCCACCATGCTTCACAGTAGGCAAGGTGTTCTTTTCATCATAGGCCTTGTTCTTCCTCCTCCAAACATAGCGTTGATCCATGGGCCCAAACAGTTCTAATTTTGTTTCATCAGTCCACAGAACACTATCCCACAACTTTTGTGGTTTGTCCACATGGCTAATACTGCAGTCGACTCTTCTTATTCTTTGGAGACAGCAAGGGGGTACGCCTGGAGTTTGGCACGGAGGCCTTCATTACGCAGTGTGCGTCTTATTGTCAAACTGTACCCACATTGACAAATCTTTTCTCAGTTCCTCAGCAGTCACACGGGGACTTCTCTCCACTCTACGCTTCAAGCGCACAGCAGTCGAAGTCAGCATCTTCTTTCTGCCACGACCAGGTAGCGTTTCAACAGTGCCCTTTGCCTTGAATTTGCGATATGATGCTTCCTAAGGTGTCTCTTGGTATGTTTAACATCTTTGCAATCTTCTTATAGCCATTGCCCTTCCTGTGAAGAGAAATCACCTCTTCTCTTGTCTTCCTGGACCATTCTCTTGCCTTCACCATGTTTGTAACCACACCAGTAAATGTCTAGAAGGAGCTGAGTATCACAGTCATTTTAAAGCTGCCTAATTGGTGCTTATTATGCTTGATTGCTGCTCGGTGACATCCACAGGTGTTTTCAATACCTGATGGAAAGCACCTGTATGAACCTCTGTTCTTCAGAGTGGTAGTCTTTAAGGGGTTGAATAATTTGTGAGCAATGAAAAAACCACATAAAGAACCATTTACTACTGTATTACATAAACAATTGATGTCATTTTAGTTGCATTTGGGTAGTTACAACGTCCTTGTAGGATTTGATTCTGAATACAATTCCAAATGTACACTATAGTCCCTAAACCCCTTTACAGCATTGGGGGTTGAATAATTTTGGACACAACTGTATCTTAATCTGCTTAGTACACCTAACACTCCCATCCTCCCAGATTAACATTGCTTCTGTCCAAAGTGGTCTCTGTTGCTTCTCCCTCCAGTGTGTAGACACCCTAAAACAGGAAGTGTGGTACTGTCTGGATCACCAGGTGAAAAGAGAGGGAAAAAGCCTAAAAAAGAAAACTACTGCAGCCACCATATCTAATTATAGGTAAACTGTAATATGTTACATTTGATTTTTGGTTTAATAGCACTAACAAACCGTGCAATATATTGTTTTGCATGTGGACACAGATGAGCTAAACAATGTTTTCCAGTAGCAAAATCACTAAATATTGAATTACAAAAGGTGATCTCTCATAGACTAGGTGTCAAGTCATGAGTACCTATCAAGTGGACTTAAAGCAGTTGTAAAAGGATATTTTTTTTTATCAAAATAATAAACATGTTATACTTACCTGCTCTATGCAAAGGTATTGCACAGAGCGACCCTGAACCTCCTCTTCTGGAGTCCCCCGTTGGCACTTTCAGCTCCGCCTCTTCTGCACATGCTCCTATAGCAAGCTGCTGGCCTGTGAGGAGAGGAACACAGACCAGCACCATTGGAGAATGAATCGAGACAGGACACAGGTAACTAGTTATGGAGGTGAAGGAGTCATACAACCATTGGGACTTTTTTTTTATTTTAATGCAGGGAATGCATTTAGGTAAAAAATGTCTTGGCTTTAGAACCACTTTAATTGATAGTAACTACAATTGCAAAAAGTCTGTATAAGTGCTGACCTTTATCACTGGGAGTTCTCTTCTTGGGCAATGTAAAAACAGCACCTTCTTCCTTCACATCCAGTCGCTGAGAAGGGCTGGATTCCTGAGCATAGGACACATAGTCCTCGTACTCCGTCTTATCAAACATTTCTGTAAAGCTGTCATGGCCTTTACAATCCTCAGCTGCTGTAGATAAAGTAAGGGAAAATGGAATTTCTGTAATTACAGCAAAATCCTTTTTTAGTACATTGAGGGACAAAGGAATGCAAAGACTGTTTGATGATACTGGAGAATTTGAACATTAGCAAACAAAGGAAAAAAAAAAAAAGAAGTGACCAACCTGGTAAACCCCTCCTACTACCAGCATTTCTCAGTTTGTGGTGTAAAAGCAGTACAAAGAACATGGACATAGACACAAAGGGTTGTGTCCTTCAATAAACACCACAAAGCCAAGTTTACATCAAGTACAAAAATCCTATTTCCCGTCTGGTTCATTGAGATACACAGGAATTCAGAGTTTGTTGGGATGTCCAAAAAAACAGTCCAACTGAAGAGTGGGAAACAGCAACAAAACAATAGCAGGCTCACAATAACAACAGCAGCCTGAGGCTGATCCAACTGAAGGATCTTACGCCCAAAGTTGGCACCAGATGAGGCCTGAACATGTAGCTGGTAAACATAGAGAACACTTGAACAGACCAGGTGAAAGCCTTGCAGATGTAGGAAACTCTAACCTGATGCAGCTGTCACTTGACAGGAAAGGGAGGAACTAGTGGTACACCGAAATGAAAATGGACAGTTTTTAAAAAATGGAAAAAGGAAAAAAAACCTGCAATATATACCCCAATTTTTAAAAAATATTTAAGATGATGTTACGCTGAGTAAACAGATACCAAACATATCATGCTTCATGCTTTAAAATTGCACATGCTCGTGGTGTGGTGAAAAATACAGTACTAAAAAACCTCCATAGGTGACACTTTAAAAATGTTTACAGTTTACTAGTTTAAACTTACAGAGGTCTAGTGCTAGAATTACTGCTCTTGCTTGGACATTTGCAGCGATACCTCACGTGTGTGGTTTGAACACTGTTTACATATGTGGGCATGGCCTACGTATGCGTTCACAACTGCGCAGTGGGGGCAGGGGCACTCTGAACTTTTTTTAATTAATTAATTTTTTTTTATACTATCCCTTTAAAAAAAAAATGTTAATTACTTTTATACCTATCACAAGGAATGCAAACATCCCTTGTGATAGAAATAAGCAGTGAAAGGTCCTCTTTATGGATATATATGGGATCAATAAGACCCCACATCTCTCCTCTACAATGTAAAGCATTAAATAAAAAAAAAAGGCTTCTAGTGCTTTAAAAAAAGAAAAAAAAAAAAGGCGTTGTTTACAAGGCGCTGGAAGTGACGTAATGACGATGCTCCAGTCCTCCAAGGGCATATAGATGAGTGGAGGCCATCTTTTCTTCACTGATCTCTATGCCCAGCGCCGGGATCGTTGGATGGGTTCTCACGCAATGCCGAGGGACGATGGGGGCGGGGTTATTTTTTGTACCTGTATCGGTGCCTATTTTCATATTGGCCTATAGGGGATATTTTCGGCTGAAACGTTTTGGTCACAGAAATTTCAGTGTATCCCTAGGTACAACCCAATTCTTTAAGTGGTTGTAAACCCTTACATAAACCCAATGAAGTGACTAGCCTGAGGTGATCACATAAATGAAATAAAATCCTCTTATAGAAGTTGTACTTGTTATCTGCAGCTTTCTTTATCTACAGCAGTTCAAAGTCCAGGGAAATTAAAGGGAATATAAAGGGAACTGCAGTCTGATAAAGTGGAGCCAGATAAATGGATGGACAAACAATGCTCTGGTTGAAATGAACAACTGAAAACACCTCAGGAAGGAGTTAGGGCTCAACACTACCTTGTCCTTGTGTAAAACTGGTTGTTTGGCAGGACTAGCTCAGACACAAGACTTGCAGAGGTGATGGTGACATTCTCCAAAGAAAGAAAAACTTAGCTGAGTTGTGTCTAGCATGAACCCCAGATATTCTGAAGGTTCAGGATACAGCTGATCCTTGGCAAGGTCTGAACTGCCACACCACATTGTTGGTCAAAACAGCTAGCAGACATCCCCGTAGTTTGGAAATTGTGCCTCTTTATGCAAAGGAAGATTTTTCTAAGAGCTTGGGGGACTGGGAAGTGTATGGTTTGTGGGCGTATTGGCAGGTTTAGCTTTGGAGGCCTATAGATAACTAAAAGGAAAACTTCTCAGCCTCCAAGGAGAGCTGAGTCCTAGGCTCCTAAATTTGAGATGAGTACTCTTACCCCTGGTGGCATCCTAGAGTGTCCGTGGCAATTCCAAAGAGACACTGCCCCTCAAAGGTCATGCAAAGCAATCACTTTTTACATGCCAGTTTTGCAGCCCAGCACTTAGGCCAAAGAGTTCTTCTCATGTTCACTGACAGGAGACTCATAATGGGATATTACACAGGAGACCTAACAACCTGTCTATACAGTAGCTCAAGCCTGCACGCATGAGTTCCAGATGCTCCAAAACTGAAGCCACAATTTGAACGGCAACTGGATTCCTTCTTATGGCCCTAGCCCATTCAGCTAAAGTTTGGCATACAAAATACATGGCCGGGGCAAGCTGAAAGGCAGGGTCTGCTAGGGAGAAAAATGTTTAGAAAGGGCCTCCAATCACTTGTCAATGGGGTCTTTAACAATAGACGGTATCTTCCACAGGGGTGGTTTAAGGCTTGTTAAGGAAAGAAAATACCAGATCCAGGGGCCACCCACTTTTTAACAAAGTCCTTTTTCAAATGGGTACATGACTGATAGATGCTTGGGGGGAATGAACACTTGTCAGGGTTCTTCCAGTCTCTGTAAATAACAATGGTTAACAATGGAATCAGAACAATCTTCCTAGGTTAGGAGCAGCATTAAAAGCTGCAGGGAGTAATGGAAGTGGCCTGCCCACCTCAGGTGTAGTCATACGTTAAGGACTCAGATTTACTGTCCAATAGTCTCAGTGGCTGAAGGCTCAGAAGCCGCTGATGCCAGTGGCAAATCAAATGAAAATTATGGTGAGGAAGGAATGGAAGCACACTTATAAATGAGTCTTTGCGACTTTGGTGAAATCCACCCTAGATAGAGCAGAGGATGGAGCCAAGGAAGAAAGCTAAGGAAGTTTCCAAGAATGGCACAGAGAGGGCAAGCAGAGGCAGAGGCAAAATTGTCAGTGTCAGGAGGTGCACAGCAGGCAGCACCGGAACCATGATTAATGAATCGTGGGCTGGAGGCACCCAGGCAGCAGGGCTGTTCCTCAAGCACCTGGGATCTGACAAGTTTCACTGCTTGGCAAGGGCAACACAGCACAGAATAGAGGACCAAGCCTTAAATACTCAAAAACCAGCTGCCTGCAGTAGGAGAGGGTTTCAGCAGCTGAAGGTAGCCCAGTCATTTTAGGCCTGAAGCAGAGATGACCCGAGGATACATTTATGGATCACTTGCAATCAGGAGCAGTGACAGGAAGGTGCTTCCTCCACACTGAATGGCAGGTAGGAGAGTGTAGAGCAAACCAGTGCAACGATCAATCCAGCAGTCCCTCAGCGTTAACCTCCTTCTGCAGTAAACCAAGAAAATCAGGAACTTGTAAACAGTGTTCAACAGCCCTACTACAGCCCTGCCGCTCAGCCCACACAGCCTATTCACTCAGTCTTCATAAACAGGGTCACACATGGGCCTATGCCATGGCTCTGGTCCTGGAAAGCACTCCGTGCTTAACACAGTACACTCATGTCTGAAAAGTGCAAGTGTCAACTAGTTCCAGGCCAGTCCAGCAGGGTCTGGGTACAACCTACAAAGCTAGTGATAAGGATAGCTGTGTAAAAGATCAGTTCAGCAGCTTGATTAATCTTGACTGAAAAAAAAAAGCTAAAGAAAAAAAAAAAAATGTTAGACTTTTCTCAGCAGAAATGGATTATATCCTCCTGGGACACTAGGCATACTGGGAGTAGGAGGTGTCATACCACGCTCATCACTGTTTTGTGTTTTTTGCCAGTATCCAAATAGCAATATAACCCAATTTCCTCTGTATTTCTGTGTCCCTCATTAAACAAGAAAAAAATAAACTTACAGCTGCATGAGAAACTTTTCCCATTAGCACTTCTCCAAAGATATGAAGCAAATGACTTACTCGTACTGATGTCTGCACACTCCTGATTTTTCATCTTTAACAGAACGCTGTCATTGACATATGTGTAATCCATGTTGTCGACCTCTGCATTATCTTGGCTCCCAGCCTAAATATAGATAATGATAACTGTGTGTGAGGATTCTTATTTATCCAGGTCATGGTATAATGGTAGTAGTTAGGCTAATAAACTGGACTTGTTCTATTTTGTCAAGAGAAGTTACCCTGCTTAACCAAGCAGCTTCTTTAAAGCTCCATTTGACAGTGTATATCCTTAGTCCATACATGGAAGAAATTACAGTCACATGGCTAAAAATATAGAACCTTAAGCCGACCATACAGAGAATGAATTTCATCCAGTTCCTGATAAACTAGCAGACATTTTCTCAATAGGTGGCCTTGTTGGCACCCTCCCACCCAACATCCTTCGATCCAAAAACCAAAGGAGTCATTTAAAAAATGTCCATCCTAACAGTGTCTGCATCCAATCAGATGTAGGCACTGTCCGAGTATTTTGACAGCTGGCGTCGGCCAAAATAGTGGTGACGGAAGTGCTGTTTAGCATGTATGGAGGAATCTATTAGATTTTTTTTCAAAAGTGAAAAAAATGCTTATGTATTGTTTTGAATGTATTTATTTTTTGGTTCCAAATGAGCTGGGGAATGCCCAGGGGCTCTGTTCTGTTTTGTATAGTCATACATAAACTACAAATGAACAATAAAACAGAAAAAAAAAAAGTGAAAAAAAATCATCCCTGTATAAAACTATCCGGAGAACAGCAGCCCAGCGTTATACCAGATTGAAGTCTCACATTTGTTTTTGCATTGAAAGAGTTGAGAATTATATCATCATGAAATAATATTCTTGCGAATGGAGTAGTACCTTCTAACTATATTGTTATTGTGGGCAGCCTGTAATGTTGTCCCCTACAACTCACATAGTAATTTGATAGGCATTCCAGATGGACAAAAGACCAGCCTTTCAGGTTTGTATATGCTTGGGTAAAACAAACCTAAAATGCAACTGTGACAGTTGTGCAGCCACTTAAGAACTCTCCAGTAATGGTAGGGCCAGGCCAGAGTTTGAAATTGGATTTAGCAAAATGTTATAATCCCAGCACAGTCTAGTGTCTTTTCAAATTAAGATTAATAAAATCAAAACTTTGAAAAAATTGTCTGGGGCAAATATACAGGGGGCTGCGTCTAACCTGAACAGTTTTGGACCTCTTGTTATAGAGATTATTAAATATAGGAATTACAGTATGTGATCTGGGTATGAGCTTATGTAAGGTATAGAAAAGAGCAAGAAAGGTGAGGTATGGGAAATATAGCAGCATTCTGGCTTTGGAGCAGTTAATAGTGAGCCCTGAGTAATGGCCCGAATTAATTTATGATGATATCTAATGCAGTTTTAGCACTGACAGCAATTATAAACTTTACCCCCATGGCTTCTCAGCCCTTGGACTCCAAAGTGGGAGGTGTAATCAGCTTGCCAGATTTCAGCTTAAAGGGACACACAGTAGCAAAGAAAGAGCACCTGAAAAACACTTGTTTAAATGGAACCCACTTACCTTGTCCTCTATCACAGTGACATCCATTTTATACTGAGAAAGGTCTGCCCCTGGGTCAATGCTCCATTGCATGTTGTCTACAGATTGTTTCCCTTAGAAGCAAATGCATTATTTGCAGTTAATTTCCAGACTGAAACTGATGATATTACAAAACAAAATACACTGGAGGAAACTTCAGTTATAAAATTTAGGTAGGGCATTGAATAGCTTGCCAATATGATCAATGCTTTAGTGTAGTCAGATAGTATACAGTACCTTAAAACACTTGCTGCCTGGCTGTCATGCTGATCCAATGGCTTCAGTACTGAGTTACTGATTTGGAATAGCTGTATTTAGGAGTTCTAACTTCAACTGCTTCATTCTTGATTTAGATCACTTATTTAAAATGTTTTAAAACCAGTTGGGCATTGGTGTCAGCAATGGCAGACCACAGATTAATATCAGTACAAGCTTCCTAGAAATCAGGGCTACAAGTAATTCTGAAACCTATTATAACTTCCCACCGTACGTTGCTATAAGGTTCATGCATATTATATGTATTTTCCAAACATATTAAGTCATTCTAATTGTATAACTGTCTAATCTTATTCCTATCTCCCAGAAGCTGTATACAGGATATGTGAACATTGTGGTATCTGCAAATAAAATTTGCTAATCCTCAACTTGATTTCTGTGTGCCTGGAGAAACCCCTAATGGTGGAGGTGCAGCTATCAACTGACAATCTGATAACAATTGTATTTCTTGGGTCTTATGATAAGCTTCAAACTGCTGATGAGAGACATTTTATTTATTACTGGATAGAATTGAAAGTAAGGCGGAATCCAAAATCTGAGTCATCAATGGAACTGAATTGGAGGGGGCATCATCTAATGCAGCGTTTTTCAACTAGTGTGCCGTGAGATATTGTCTGGTGTGCCGTGGGAAAAATTGCAATTTCATCCGTAACATGTGGCCTCGGCTCACAAATAGACCAATCATTAGAACAGCAATGGGCAAACTACGGCCCGGCGGACCTTTTAATCCGGCCCGCAGAGCGTGATACTGTCAGGATGATCTGTCCCCCTCGACGTATCTGCGCATGTGCCGGAGATCGCCGATCGGCTGCTAATGCCTGAAACTGGCACATGCGCAGATACGTCAAGGGGGACAGATCCTCATAGGAGACAGATTTTCATGCTACACCGGAACGGCGAGAGGAACGCGCGGAGCAAAGGTAAGTGAATTGACACAGGGGGGCTTGGGGACTTAATATGGGGGATGAATTAATATGGGGGATGAATTACTATGGGGGATGAATTACTATATGGGGGATGAATTACTATGGGGGATGAATTACTATGGGGGATGAATTACTATAGGGGGGATGAATTACTATATGGGGGATGAATTACTATAGGGGGGATGAATATACTATATGGGGGGATGGATGGGGGGGGATGAATTACTATATGGGGGGGGGAATTACTATGGGGGATGAATTACTACTATGGGGGAATTACTATGGGGGATGAATTACTATGGGGGATGAATTACTATGGGGGATGAATTACTATATGGGGGATGAATTACTATGGGGGATGAATTACTATATGGGGGATGAATTACTATGGGGGGATGAATTACTATATGGGGGATTAATTACTATGGGGGATGAATTACTATATGGGGGATTAATTACTATGGGGGATGAATTACTATGGGGGATGAATTACTATATGGGGGATGAATTACTATGGGGGGATGAATTACTATGGGGGATGAATTACTATATGGGGGATTAATTACTATATAGGGGATTAATTACTATGGGGGATGAATTACTATGGGGGATGAATTACTATATGGGGGATTAATTACTATGCTTACTATGGGGGAATATTACTATACTTACTATGGATGACACATAAACATCATTCATCTACTCTTGGTCCGGCCCCCGGGTCCAATTATAAAATACTTTATTATTTCATAATAAAGAATTATAAAATAATTTCTTTGTGTTTGATTCCTATTCAAGAGAATTACTTTATATATAGTCAATATAGGCACAGAGGTAAATTTTTTTTAACATTTTCTAATGGTGGTGTGCCTCGTGATTTTTTTCATGAAAAAAGTGTGCCTTTGCACAAAAAAGGTTGAAAAACACTGATCTAATGGGTACATCCGTTCCAGTGACAACTGTCTGAAGGGGTTTTCCTTACTTTGAGAGATGTTTTACTTGCACACCCTATCTGTGACTCCTAATCTCACATCCTGTCTGTGAAGCCTATTGGGACAGAGATGGCAAAGAACTTCAATACCAGTTTTAACCACTTTCTGTTATAATACTGAAAAAACGTTTAGATATACTTTGAAGCTGAACTCTGACGTACCCTTTTTCGCACTACAGCAGTTTTTTTTTTCTGATTCTGGGATGGCTGCATTGTCACACGAATCCATCCTTCCTCTCCTGGTTGCGTGGCCACTACTGGGTCCTGCATGGTATGTGATGATGGCAAGGGCCCAACCACATTCCAGCTGGAGCAGGAGCAAGTACTAGTTCCAGGACAGTGAAGCTAAACCTAGGCCTGGAACTAGCATTCAGCACTTGAGTTCTACAAGCATTGTAAGGATGCAAGACCACCCAGTAACATGCTGAAGACAGCACAAACAAGCCCACATAAATCAGCCTTCCCTTCACCCTTATCAGATGCCTGCTCAGCGTAACAGGATATTTGTCAGGGAAGAGACGCTCATCAGTCATGGAACATTTACAAAACTATGTTATTTTTCCCTAATGTACCCTCATATAATATTAGATATGTTTACTGTGCAAGATTGTATTCCGTAAATGATATTATCGTTTATAACACATGTAAAACACCCTTAACTCTCTTAACATACTACAGTTTAAAAATGTGAAATTAATCTGTTTTTTATAACCTGAAATGCACATAAACTTACTATCCATAATACAATAAAGCTGGCATTAGACGAAGAAAAAACAAATAAAAATTTTTTTTGAAAAATTATAATTTTTGTTTATAAACTAATTTGTCTTATTTTTTTTTAATAAAAAGATAGATGAATACATTTTGGTCAAGAGTTATGAAGAAAGATTATTTATTTGCAAAATCTTATAGGAAAAACACTTCTTTTTTCAAAATGTTTGGACTTTTTCATTTCTATAGCAAAAAAAATAAAAATCCCAGTGGTGAGTAAATTCCCCCAAAATAAAGTTTTATCTGTCTCAAAAAAATGCTAAAAAAATTCATATGGGTACAGTGTTGCATGACCACGCAATTGTCATTCAAAGTGTGATAGCACTGAAAGTAGAAAATTGGCCTAGACAGGAAGGGAGTGAAAGTGTCCGGACTTAAAGTGGCTAAGAAAAAAAAACACAGAGCAGCCTCAATCCTGCTCTTCTTGGGTCCCCCACTGGTGCTCCTCCCCCTTGCTGAGTGCGCCCAGAGCAAGCTACTTGCTCTGGGGGCACTCGTGCATGCTCACTCCCAGGCCGCCTCTATGTGTCCATAAGGCATACAGAGTAGCTTGGCCCTGTCCCTAGCTCCTTCCTCACTGGCTGTGACTGACAGCATCAGGATCCATTAGCTCAGTGTCTCAGCCAATGAGGAGGTAGAGACCCGGGACAGCCACTGCTTTCATGCACATCACTGGATCGGGATCAGGTAAGTATTGGGGGACCTGAGGAGGGAACTGCACCCTGAAGATTACCTTCATGCACAGAATGCATGAAGGTAAAAGAAAGAACCTTCAGCCTTTACAACCACTTTAAAGATATGCTTCTCTACTGGCTTCTAGACTGGTGTGATCTTTCCATGTATATTATATAAGTTATCCAACCCTGAAGATGAGTTCTTGCCAGGTTTAGGGCCTGTGTTGATCGGCTTTTAGTCTGTGTCGATGGCATCAGTTTGATGCTGCTGAGATTATTCAGAATTTATTGACCTGCTTCAAGAGGGTTTTGCTGTACCATAGACTTTTATGGGAATGTAAAACCTGTCTGACACAAACAAAGGCCCTTAGTAAACTGCAGTACACCTCAGTAAAACTCCAAAACTGAACACAGCAATACAAAGGCATAGAATACATACAAAGCACTTCTGTTTTCCACTATTACGGGAGTACACAAGGACACCTTGCTGTGTAAAACGATCTGTAATTAACTTGATGTTCTGTGAACACCTAATCCTAAATTTTTGTAGGACAGAAATTCTGCCATCAATGTGTGTGCATTTATTGTAAAGATGTAACACATTTACAAATATGTAATCAAGGAGAAAGGTTGTAGAGCACATTTGGCAGCACGTGTTACCTTGCTCTGTGCTCATACCTTTGTCTCTGGTTTGAATCATTTGTGGGTTTGCTTGCAACACAGATGCTGGTTGACAGCCTCTCTGAACTGATCTGCCCATCCTCTTAGGCATATGGGTTTCTCCAGCCTAGAAAAGAATAAATAGCAACAGCAAAGTGAACAACAAACTAACACTGGATATTCTATTAGTTATATCTGGACAGCATTAGTGGGCCAGGGTAGCCATTTCTAAACTGTATCTGTAATGTTTCCCTCAGAGTGACACTTTTGCTGTAAAAGTCCGCTGTATACCATAGCCCTTTCAACAAAAGCTTCCTGTGGGCTGCTGCAGCTGATTAGGAACTATCTCTTCAGGGAAACCTATCCTGCGGTCAGCTAATAATGGAATCTTCTACTCCTCCTACCAGTCCATCCCCCACAGTTACTACCTTTTGTACCAATAGCCCCTCCCTCCTAGATTGTAAGCTCCAAGGAGCAGGGCCCTCCTATCCCTCTTGTATTGAACTGTATTGTTGCTGTATTGTCTCCTGTTATATTGTCAAGCGCTGAGCAAACTGTTGGCGCTATATAAATCCTTTATTATAATAATAATAGTATGAACGCTCTCTCTACTGCAGACAGGTTAGCAGTACAGTAGCGTAATGTCTACATAATTAAAGTAATTGTAAACCCTCAACTTGTAAAACAACCCAATCAGTTTAAAATAGAAATGAAAGGTAAAACATTTGTGTACAGATATAAAAAAAAAACACTATAAATAATGGGTTTCCCCTTTTTTATAAGTGATCTCTTTCCCTCTGTTCTTAGCTGTATTAGAGTTGGAGAGGAAAAACATAACACTGATCTGGCCAGTGAATGGACTTGCAGCAGAGGTGTGTCAGGACAAGTCTGATCATTGGAGCAGAGCACAAAGAGTTCCCAGCACAGCTAGAGAACTGACCACGATGTGTTATCATGCCTCGTGTGGTCAGTTTATAATAGGAATGCAGAGGGACTGACAGGAACACCAGGGATTTTACACAAAGGAAGTAATAGAAAGAGAACAGTATACTTTTTCATACAGTACATGATACAACAGGCACATATCAGGAATATGAAATGTCCAGTTTGCATATTCTTAAGTGTAAATGCTATTAAAACAGTTTTGAGTGAAGTGCAAATAATTACCTCCATGTCGTCAAACAGATGACTGCCACCTTGGGCTACTTCATTATCTTCACGCATCCGAGAAGCCACAGAATCTCCTTTAAGAATTCTTTTGTTATCCACTTGCAGTGTGATATCCTCCCTCATTTCTTTGGAGAGCAGTGATGCAGTTTTGTTACTTGTGGTCTTCAGAGTTTCTTGGATGGTAGCTTGTTTAAGTTTGTTTCTAGGGTTTTCACGACTACTTTCCTGAGAATGCAATCCTGAGAAACGATCAGAGAGATCCAATGGCTTGTCTAGACAGTTATCTCTGGTGTTTGTGGAAGGTTTCAGGGGAAAATTGTTTTCCTTGTTAAGAGAAGATATTTCACAATTTGTTTCTTCATTGTTTTCTACTTTTTTTCGCTTCCCACACCTGCCTATTGTCTGCCTATAAATATCAGTTTCAAGATGATTTTTGGAAACAAAAGCACAATTTGTGCTGGCTTCCATTGATAACCGAGTCAGAGGGTGTTCGCTTCAAAGACACATGTTTGTTGCCTGAGCTCTGACTAATTTCAGAGTCTGGTTCTTGGTACAGACTGATAGCAGTCACCAAGGAGGCATCTTCACGCTTTGACAGTATGTGGAGAGGGCTTCTGTTAGGAACTTGATGGTTCAAGTTTATTCCAGCAGGCAGGAGAGACTCACTAGTATCCAGAGTGGCATTATTCTCCAGTTTTGAAGTAGGCATCCCAAACACTGGTGACATCCGATGGGTGTCCCACTCAATTTCATGTACATGGTTTTGTAAATTCTCTGTAAATCTAAAGTATTAGCACAGAAAAAAATTGTCTATATGCAATTTGTCAAACATATGGATCCATACATGCCAAATAATTGCAAAAGAAAAAAAAAATACTTTCTGTAAGGTGCAAGCGGAAGTCTACATGCAATGGGGAGAATTAACTAAAACTAAAGTAGACAGAATCTGGAGCAGTTTTGCATAGTAACCGATTCGCTTCCAGCTCCAGCTCCTTGAATTAAGGTGGCAATAAACCCTCCTATCCATTATAGCCAAGGAAGCTGCCATCTCAGCTGCTATTTGCTCTGCAGATGTCATGGTGCTGCACATATGATTAGATATACAACCAGTCATTTGATAGCTTGACAATTCAGTTAGGAGCAGAAGCAGCTGTAACAGGCATGTCATGCCTTAAAGTGGAACTTAGTCTCTTCTGCATTAAAGTTACCTACCTGCTTGTCCGTCCCTGTACAGTGAGCTGTGCAGGCACAGCTCACTGTGCAAATTTAGCAATGCCAATTCTGACTGAACTCCCACTCATGCGCGGGACTGACGTTATCCCTGCCTGGTCAATGACAGTGGTCGAAACCTGGCTGGCCACCCAAAAATGTCAGCAGCCAGGTAAGGGGCTCCAGGACATCGCATTGCTGGATCCAAGGTGAGTGTAGTTCCGCTTTAAATGTAACCATTTGGAAACAGTTAAATCAAGGGATTTAGTTTTGCTTTAAGCTTTGAAAGCTGAAACCTATAATCTGATAGGTTCCCATACACAGCTGCTCCAGATTCCAGCTGCTCCAGTCTTCCTAAATTCCCCTTATTATGCTTTCTACATACAACAATTTTCTCTATATACCGAGTATCCTTAACATATTGACTAAACTGGACAGTCTGTAACTACAGTACATTAATAAATAATGCATCCCATGAACTTCCTTAGTTTAGAAATACAAAAGATATTTTACAGCCCAGCTACCTGAAAAACAAGAAGCAATAACAATACTGGACAAAACCTATTATGCATATATATAGAAAAAGTACAGATTAAAAGTTGATTACAGGATTTTTTGCAAGGTTAATAAGTAATTTCACACATAAACTCACCCTAGCTCACTGCTTCCAAGAGAATGTTCTTCATTTTTACCAAGCACTGTAGCTGCACTTGTCCTGGCAATGTTCAATACACTCTGAGATTGCTTGAACAAAGCATAGGGAGTCAGCATTAATACTTGGGAAACATATTTCATATACACAGTACTAATTTTTTGGTAATATCAATATGCACATTTTGGTTTTCATTACCTGTTTACTGTAATTGTATTTTTGTGTACCTTTGGCTGCAACCCTGCTCTCCTAGTTCAGGTGCACATTTTCATTTTCAATTTCCATCCTATTTTAATTGTTACTTATTTTTGTTTAAAAACCAAGAATTTCTGCTTCTGTGTACTTTCTGGCTAGCCACAGTGTGAGGCAGCAGGAGGGCTGAGGGGTGTCAAATATACACACACAGCCAACAAAAAAGTTACTGGATAACCAGCGTGATTTCTGAGCCAGTATCTTAAAGCAAAACTTCTTTCAATAGGGGAAGTTCTGCGCTCCCTCCCCTCCTCTGCCACATTTGGAATAAACATATTTTTCGGAGGGGGGAGGAACAGGTAACCTGGTTTGACAGGTACCTGCTCCAACTTCCAGTTGGATCGCTGTGGCAGATCCACCAGAGGTTCTAGTTCTCCCCTCCCTGCCTCGCAACCTTTTGGGACATGTTACATGTCCCAGAAGGCTGCAGGACCATTCACAAAGAGCAGAATCAAAATATGTATGTAACATGCATATAATCTTTCAGGTGCTAAAGGGGTGTGAACACAGTTAACAGTAGAAATTATGGATAAACCAGTAGGGATTACTTTGACTCAGTTGGCCAGCTTGAAGCAAAACTAAATCCCTTGATTTAGTGTAGTGTAACTTTAGGCAGAAAATTGAGTCCTGATAGATCACTTCAGGCTGGTCCCTTTTTCAGGTATAGCTATGTAATACTGTACATTGCAAATAAGTGCCTATACTATTTAAAATCCAGTAATGCTCTGTTCTGCACAGCCTCTATTGTTCTCTATTCTTGGCGCTGTGCTGAAAATAAAAGCCACTAGAGGCTGATCTGCTGACAGCCTAAAGTTTTACTGCTGCTAAGGGGTGGGGGGGCTCTGGGCTTCAGCAAACTGGCAGTCTCCAGCAAAAAGAAACAGGAGCAATGCTGCAGGCAATTTACAGCACACACTCATTTTGCAGCACAGTTAATAATGTGGAATGCATGTTCATTGCTAAAGAACATTATTTTTATCAAGTGGTTATGAGTAAAGTTCCACTTTAAGGCCTAGAAATAGATTTTTGCATTGGATGATGCCTCAACCCTAGCATCAGCCTTGGCCAGCTGTGGTGAAAGGAATAGGAAATATTTTTTTAGTAAAGGAGTTGGCCTTCCATATTTTGATTGTGGAATTTTATGTACAGATTAGTATGAGTCCCCTCTAATGGTTTTCTGCATTTGACATTGTTCATATGCTTTGTCAGATACAGTTCTGGACTTTAAGTGCCTGCATGCTAAAATATGTGCACATGTAAAGCTGACCATACACTTTGCAATCTGACTATACAATCCTTGTTAACTCTCCTTAGATTTACCAAAACATTGTAATATATGAGGACCTTCCAAAACTATCCATTTACCACTTCCCTTCAGCCCGCCCACACATGTACTGCGGCAGGGCGGCAGCTACAGGCAAAGCAATGTACCCATACGTCACTCTGACTGTACTAACACACAGGGGGGCGCCACGCGCCCCCCTCACAACTACTGTGTCCAGCGGACACAGCGGAGTGAAGATCCCGGTGAACAGGACCAGGTGGTCATGTGATCGCTAGGCGTTCACATGAGCACAATGTAAACAAAGATGTTATGAATCAATCTCATTCATAACAGCTCTACTCCTCTTCCTAGTGAGCTGTGATTGGCCTACAGCTGTCACATGATACATGGGGTCAATAACCGCACCTGTACCATGTGACCAACTCCAGCCACTCACAGATCACTATCTTGATGACAGTTCATGAGTGAGTTTGGTTCATGACAGCAAGCTTTGCATTGCAGGAGAAATGATTTTTATCTCTCCTGCAAAGCAAAGTATAAAAAAAAAAAAAAAAAAAAAAAAAAAAATCCCTGATCACCCCCCATCTCCCTCGCCCCCACAGTAGTACAATCTTACTATGGTAACATCGTACTATTCTGATAAAAGTACAAAAAAAGAATAATAATAATAGAAAAAAAATGTTAAAAAAAAAATACCATATTGAGAGCTACTTGCCAACCGCTTACCCGCATTTTGCTGGCGAGCAGCAGCTCTTGGCAAAGGGGCGTAATCTTGTGTCACTTCCTATTTTGGGGTGTGAACGCACCTGCGCCCCCCCCCCCCCCCCCCCCCCCGACACCTGTCGGTCCAGGGAGAGAAGAGAGAACATGGCACCGAGTTAAAAGCACTACATTTTACACACACGTTAGATTAGCACATTTAACCCTTTGATCACCCCTATTAACCCTTTGATCGCCCCGTCACCCAGCCAGTGCCATTAGTACAGTGTCAGTATATAGACTTTTTCACTGATCACTGTATTACTGCCATTAGCGACATCAGATAGCATCAGGGTCAGTAAGCGCCCCTCCCAGCCAGGGTCAGCTAGCATTGCCCACACACTATCGCACTCACGCTATAGGTTGCTGATCACCGCCATTACTAGTATAGTGTTTGTACGGATCAAGATATTGACCACGAAGAGAACTATACTAGTGCCTCCTTTGTATAGTGTCCCTAGAAACGCAGTGTTAGCAGGATTGGACCTGTTTGTGGCCAGTACTAGCGTTTAGCCCCTCCACTGTTTTTCATGGAAGATTTGTATCAACTGATTGGACCAAAGCAATTTATACACACACAACCATACATCCTCGCCCACCCAAATTCAGCTCTTGCCACACAATTCGCATAGAAACCTATCACGGTTTCTGAATTTAAAACTTTTTTGGGCCTAACCCTCAACATGGGCATTATAAAAAAGAATGAATTGTGGTCATATTGGTCCACAGAGCCAATTCATCATATGCCCGTGTTCTCTGCTGTTACATATATACCCAACATGGACCAGCAATGTACTGGTATGTCGCTGGACTTTGAGTGGTTATACCGGGTTGATGCATGCAGATACAGGCATCATTCTGGTACTGTTTTTTTTCAGTTGGTGGTTGGCTTTCATATAAAAGCAATCCTAGTGGCCAATTAGCTGCTCATTTGTTTTTCCGAGCAGCGGGAAGGGACATTTCCCCCCCCCCCGCTCCTCCTGCTGCCTTCCACAGTTTTCTTGGGCTCTCCTGTCCCACAGGGGAATCCAAGAATGCAGCCAGCAGTTCCTCTGGCTGACCATAGAGCTGATCAGGGACCAGAATGGCTCCAATAATCTCTATAATCAAAGAAATCAGAAGCTACGAGTATTTAATCATTTCAGTTTCCCAGGATATAAACAGTACCATTAGTAAATTTGGAAAGCATCTGATCACACCGAATTTGGTGAGATTAGATAATGTAAGGGCAGAGGAGATATCTAGAGTCTGAGAGACCCCAGATTTCTCAAAAAAGAATATATGGCAATGCCCATTGAAGTTATAGGGGATATTTGCATTCCCTGTGATAGCATTAAAAGTGATTATAAAAAAGAAAAAAGTAAAAGGAACAGTGTAAAAATAATTAAAAAAATCAAAATTAAAGTAAATATAAATTGGTGACCTGTAAAGGCTTTTGAAGCATTGCCTATCGATAATAAAAATGCATGTACTTTGTTGCCTTGCACAGTATCGATTTACTCAGCATAACATCATTATTTTATATGTTATCAAACAATTGGGCAATATATTGTGTTTTTGTGCATTAAAATTCTAAAAAGTGTATTTTTCCCAAAAGATCTGCATTTGAAAAATCGCTGCGCAAATACTGTGACGTAAAAAATTTCAGCACACACACGTTTTATTCTCTAGGGCAGTGTTGGCAAGCCAAAATCTGTGGGCACGCCAGGAGAATACCGTATTTTTCGCTCCATATTTTTTTCCCCCAAAAAAGGGGGGGAAAATGTCAGTGCGTCTTATGGAGCAAATATAGAGCGTTTGGCCGGTCCGGTATTTCCACCGCCGCCGTGTAGCTCTGCAGTGGGACCTTACCTGTCCCTCTATCCAGCGGCATTTCCCGGCTTCTGTAGTGTGCGTGAAAAGGGTCCCTGCGCAAATGCTCTTTGTGAATGTAAGGCGGTACCTGGGAAAGATCCCAGAAGCCGCCGGACCAAATTACAAAGCGCAGCGCTTCTCGCGCATACTGGGCATCCGGCTGTCCGACGAGCGCCCAAACAGAAGCCGGGAAGACAGCGCGCGGCTGGATAAAGGAACAGGTAAGATAAAAAAAAAACTTGCGGAAGTAAGAGCGGGTACTACCCGCTCCCCCTCCCTCCCCAAAGGTCAGCAGTCATCTGTAAGTCTCTGGTCATCCCTGTGCTTTCCGCAGTCTCTGGTCATCTCCTGTACTATGTCCGCAGTCTCTGGTCATCCCTGTACTGTTCTGCAGTCTCTGGTCAACTATGTCTGCAGTCTATGGTCATCCCTGTACTGTGTTGCAGGGGGGTCATGTACTGTGTCTGCAGTGGTCATCAAGTTCTGCAGTCTCTGGTCATCCCCTTGTGAGTCTCTGGTCATCCCCTGTACTGTGTCAGTCTATGGTCATCCCTGTACCGTGTCTGCAGTCAACCGTGTCCGCAGTCTTTTTCCTGTACCGTGAATCTCCTGTAACTGTGGCAGTCTCTGGTCAAAAGTCTCTGGTCATCCCTGTACTGTGTCTCTGGTCATCCCTGTACTGTGTCTGCAGTCTCTGGTCAGTACTATGTCCGCAGTCTCTGGTCATCCCTGTACTGTGTCCGCAGTGGTCACTCCCTGTACTGTGTCTGCAGTCTCTGGTCATCCCTGTACTGTGTCTGCAGTCTCTGGTCATCCATGTACTGTGTCCGCAGTCTCTGGTCATCCCTGTACTGTCCGCAGTAAGCTAAACCAAAAGCTCGATATTTAGGTTTCATTGCAGTGTTGGCACTTTGAAAGAAATTTGGTTTTGGGTTGCATTTGGGCACTCGGGCTAAAAAGGTTCGCCATCACTGCTCTAGGGTGTCTGCTTTAAAAAAATATATAATGTTTGGGGGTTCAAAGTAATTTTCTAGCAAAAAAAAAACAACAGTTTTTTCATGTGAACAAAAAGTGTCAGAAAAGGCTTGGTCTTCAAGAGTGGGTCATGTGTGGAATAAGCTTCTAACATTGGCGCTGAAATGCCAAGTTAGTAGAAGCAACCTCTCCAAATGACCCCTTTTTGGAAAGTAGACACTCCAAGGTATTTGCTAAGAGGCATGGTGAGTGTTTTGCAGATTTAATTTGTTGCCACGTTTTTGGAAAACGAAGAAAGAAAACAAAACATTTATTTTTTCTTATCATTTTTGTCACAAGGTTTTGAAAAAGAAAAAAAGAAATCTGTATAATACTCACCATGCCTCTTATCAAATTCCTTGGGGTGTCTACTTTCCAAAAAGGGGTCATTTGGGGAGGGTGTTTGTACTATCCTGGAATTTTAGAGCCTCCGAAACTGTGATGGGTAGTGGGAAAGGGAGGAAATATGCCCTTTGAAAGCCTGGAGGTGGCCATTGGATTTTGGGGGCTTGTATGTAGCTAGGCTGCCAAAAAGTCTCTCACATGTGGTATCCCCATACTCGGAAGAAGTAGGAGAATGTGTTTTGTGGTGTTATTCCACATAGACCCATGGCATGCATGAGCAATATATCATTAAAGTGACAACTTTGTGTAAAAAAAAATTGTCATATTCAAAAAAATTTGTGCCAAAAAATAAAATGTTCCATGGGCTCAACATTCCTCTCAGCAAAATCCTTGGGGTATCTACTTTCCAAAAAGGGGTCATTTGGGGGTGGTGGTTTGTACTGCCCTGGCATTTTAGCACCTCAGGAAATGTGATAGGCAGTCAGAAAGTAAAAGCTACGTAAATTCCAATATATATACCATAGTTTGTAGATGTAACTTTCATACAAACCAATAAATTTACATGTATTGAGATTTTTCTTACCAAAGATATGTAGCAGAATACATTTTAGCCTAAATTTAAGACTAACTTGGAGTTTATTGGATATTTGTTATAACCAAAAGTGAAAAAACATTTTTTTTAAACTTTTTGATCTTTTTTTGTTTATAGCGCAAAAAAAAAAAAAAAACCCGCAGAGGTGATCAAATACCACCATAAGGAAGCTCTATTTGTGTGAAAAAAGGACATAAATTTCATTTGGGTAGAGCATTTTAGTACAGGCACTTGCCAGAAGTCAGATTGTAACATGCGTGCCAATCTTAAAGAACTAACACCAACATTTCTCAATCCTTGTGAAATCCCTGAGGGAACAAAGTGCGTGCAGCACTTGCTCCCATTGTGATCCATGGCTGCATTATGCTACTAATGTGCATCTTTTTTTCTGTTTGTGTTGTAGCTCCACCAGAGACTAAAGCCCAATATGTTTTCCCATCCTGGAAGTTACAGATTAGCACTAGCTCCCACCCCCCCTCTTTATTGTAATCCCACATAGTTCTAGTGACAGCTACCTGCAGCAATGTGTACTGTGAAAGGGCTACTGCTGCCTGCTGATCAGAAGTGAGAGACTAAAGTTTCCACTGCCAGCTTGTGTTGTGAATGTCAATGTACTGATTGCAAGCACCGTCATTCACAAAAACACAAGCCACAACATGTCTACAGCTAGTATTCAGGCAACTGAGCCCAGATCTGACTGTCTGCTATTGTGAGGAGAGGTAGTAGGTGCCAGTTTTTGCTGTGAATGGCAGCTAGATACAAGCTCCATCATTCAGAAAAAAAAAAAACACAAGCCCACAACTAAAGCTGGCAGCTATTACTCTCAGACAACAGAACTCTGACCTGTCTGCCGGCTATTGCAGGGAGAGGGACTAGAGTAGTAGCTACCAGCTTGTGTTACGATTGACAGGGGGCTCATCAGCAGCCGCTGTCATACACACCATAGTCTGGTAGCTACTACTTTGGTCCTTCTTGCCACAACAGCAGACGGACAGGTCAGGGCTGTTAAGACTTTCCTCCCATACTAAGCAGAGAGCACATGGTGCAGATTAGATTAGAGCTGCAGATGATATACCCCTCTCCTCTCTGTACTTGTCATACTTAATTAAAAATGTGTCACCTTGCTGGCAGTGAGGTCAGACAGCGATGTGAAGGAGGGTAGCAAGCTGTCCGACCATGCTGCATTCATGCACTAGATTCCCTGGGGGATTACACTTTAAAAGATATGGGTATGACCAGAGGTGGACTGACAACTCATGGGGCCCCCGGGCAATAGGGGATCAGGGGGCCCCTGTGTCCTTGCCCACACTTAAAGCACACCCAAAAAAGCCTATAAAAAGGTACCAGGGGCATTTCATGGGGCGCCCTACTGACCCTGGGCCCTCGGGCAGTGCCTGAGTTTTCAAATGGTCAGTCCGCCCCTGGGTATTACCTCCCACTGAGAGCACAATCTCTCCCTCGGAAATATCTTCTATCTACTTTTCTTCCCAGAAAGCCAGTGCATTCTTTGCTCTGGTATTACCCAGTTCTAGGACTAAAATGAAAGTCCAAGGATACCATAATCATGTAAATTTGGATTCCTGTGCAGAATGTTTAATGTTGAAGCTGTGTCTTGCACTTCCTAAGCTCCCTGCTGCCCTTCAGACTGTGACTGGAGAGTGTAAAAATTCATCACATTTACCAGACTTGGTCCTCCTCCTGCCTCAGGTCCTGTGACCAGTAAAGGTAAACATCCATTACAGTCTCACAGCTTAATTGAAACTCTTGCAGACATCATAATAAACTTTGCAAAAAAAAAAGAAAAGAGGAATGAAATATTGTAAATGTGTGTGTAAACAAGCCCTTAAAATAGTATTAAAACCAAAAGCAAGTATTTATTAAATTGCAACTTACCAATTCTTAGATGTGATGGCTGCATTAGTTTTATTTTTTTAAGCTTTTATTTTCACCTGGGGATCCTGCCAGTAAGTCTGTTTTTCAACAGAACAAGCTGCCCTGCAGATGTAGCAGTCAGAGGGATGAGACAAACCATTTACCACAGGCAGGAATACTTACAATGATCAGTTTTTATTTATATAAAACTTATATCCAAGAAGGAACAAGATTTTTACTATAACTGCTTATAAAGTGTTAGCTAGGGTATGGCTTCAATTTGTTAGCGTATCTAAATCAGCTAGTACACCACTCATCTCCCCCCAACCTAAGAATGCTGCTGTCCAAAGGTGTCTCTGTTGCGCCTTCATCCAGAGTGTAGGCATGCTAATACAGCAGATATGTTACTGGCCAGATCCCCATGTGAAACAGAGGGAAAAACAGCACACAAAAAGAAAACTAATGCAGCCACCGCAACCAATGATTGGTAAGCTGCAATAAATTTCATTTTTGGTTTTGGGTTTAATACTGCTTAAATTATAAAATGGTAGTGACATGCAGAATCTATTTCTGCATAATTTTAAAGTTAAAAGACTCTATCCCTTTAACAAATCAATGTGTCGGCTGACTTATCTCAACCTTTGCTTAACCTGCATTATTATAGCCATCTGGTGGAATAATTCATGTACACTAAGTACACTACATTATTATTACTCGAAAAGCAGTTACAAAGTTATGCCAATTAAATAAAAAATGTATTAAGATTTTGATTGGACCTTTAATAACACTGTAAGCTTTGAAAAGTTCTGGTAAGGGTAACGCAAAATGGGGCTCCTATGTCACAGCCTACTGCCATAGCCGCAGGCGTAAAACTATAGATCACCGAAAACAGTGTGATGGCAGGGGCAGGTCTTACATGTCAGCAGTTCAGAGGGTGATGAAAAGAAATGTGACACTGAACTGCAGAGGACAGATCATTTCCCATCCTTCCCTAATGTGAGGATGCATTCCTCTTGGTCTTTTGAACAGAAGAAAAAATTCCTCAGATGAAGTGGCTATGAGTCTGTTTGGCTGAAGGGCTGTTTAGGCTTCATTTTGTAGGCATATTATTAGAAAACTAGATATTTTCACTTTTTATGTTTCACTGGAGCATAAGCTTCACATTCATACCATTGTTCATGTGTTCAATGCTCAGCTTTCAAAGGAAATGATTCAAATAAGAAGGGGTTTTCTAGAATAAGTAGCAAAAATGAATACAGAACAGCAGGTTCCATCTAAAATATATCCAGTATGACTTACTGAAGACAGTCATACACAATGCCAGCAGTAGATGACATTGTGGCTGCAAAGATAATCATTCACTTACAGATTCCTCCAGACCAATGGTTTCGGCAACAACAGCTGCCAAGTTGAAGAGTGGTTTCTCTGCTGTAAAATCGCCAGCTTCATGTTTGGCTGTTTAATGAAAACACAACCATATTGAAAATTAGCAAGAATGTTTGTTCTGTTAGAATAATACTGTATATTAAGCAAAGTTAAGAAATGATATTGGATGTGTCTGCAGATATTTCCTAGATTGTAAGCTCAAATGAGCAGGGCCCTCTGTTTCCTCTTGTACCAAATTGTATTGTAACTGTAATGTCTACATTCTCTGTGTAAACTGTTGGAGCTATATCAATCCTGTACAGTAATAATAATATTTCAGTTATGTTTGATAATATACAGAGTGCAATGTAAATTTAAACTAAACTTAAATTTCAAAAACTGATCCCACAAGGCCATAAGGATGTGTAAAGTGGCATAAATCTTAACATCCAACTAAACATAGAACCTGTACTCCACTTTTTTGACCCTTTGAAATACTGCGAATGTTTGTACCTTTATTGTTATTTTATATTTTGGCCGTCAATCATCCTAAAGATCCTCCTCTGCATAAGGCAAAACTATTTTGTAATGTTGCTGTGTGTTGACATCTTGCCCACGAAATCAGCGGCACCCCATAGACTTTATGGGGAAGTTATCGAACTGGGGCAGTCAAAATCTGGAGCAGATATGCATGGCAAAAAATTGGTTTCTATCTTCAACTTGTTCACAGTTAAGCTTTGAAAAAGGAAGCAGCTTAGGGCTAAATTGTCATGCTCAACTGCTTCAGGTTCTGGCTGTCTTGAGTTTTTAAGGTGTGTTTCCACCTTTGCAGTCAAATTTGAGAAAACCCCACTATATCTTTGTTATGTGTTCTCATTCTCACAGTATACTGTCTTTAAAAATATTTCTTGCGTTTAGATACTTCTCAAGAAGAGATGTCATGACTGACTGCAAGGTTTTTAGACCAATGTTAAAGTGAGCCTGTCCCAGCCTGTCCTGCTTATTAACATAAAACTGCAAGAAGCACAGCCTCTACACCGTCATCCCTTTGCAGGGACAGACAGTGTTCAAATCTAGTTACAATTGATAATGAAGAGCCAAACAAAGCTGCACAGCTGGATTTCTTCCTTGCCAGAAGCTCCAGAATAGCCCATCTAAAAAAGGTAAGCTGCCATTTTTTTTTAACCACTTCCTGTCCGGCCCATGTATATAAACAGGCAGACGGGAGCAGTGCAAGAGCGGGTTGGCATTCATAACCGGCGCCCGCATTTTCAGCCTGTGTGTGCTCCCTGGGAGCGCACGGCACCCTGAATCGGTTCCCCGCTGTGTCCTCTGGATCGATGTATGGGACCTCTGTGTGAGGTCCCGATCATGTGATCACTGATTGGCAAATCAGTGATCACATGAATAGTAGCAAGCAAGATGTCACTTCTGACTTCATTGCTTACTATGTGTGAAATCTGTGAATGATCACAGAGGTCACATGATACAAGGCTTTTCACAACAGCCTTGTACCATGTGACAAGCTGTGACCAATCACAGCTCTCACAGTAGTTCTCAATGGCTGCAAGAATTCAGTCAGAGAGAAGGAGAAATTATTGCTTTTACAGCCTCACCCCCCACTATGGTGACACTGTACTGCTAGGGTGACAATATGTTAAAAAACAAAAAACAAATAAAATATAAAAAAAATAAAATAAAAATGTAAAAAAATGTTTTTAAAATTATAATTTTTGGTTATAAAACTAATTTGGGTTATTTTTTTTTTCTAAAAAGATAGCTGAATACATTTTGGCCAAGATTTATGAAGAAAGATTATTTATTTGCAAAATGTTTTTCAAAATTTTTATATAGCAAAAAAAAAAAAAAAAAAAAAAAATCCCAGTGGTGAATAAATACCACCAAAATAAAGTTTTATCTCTCTCAAAAAAAATGCTAAAAGATTCATATGGGTACAGTGTTGCATGACCATGCAATTGTCATTCAAAGTGTGACAGCGCTGAGAGCTGAAAATTGGTCTGGACAGGAAGGGGGTGAAAATGTCCAGACTTTAAGTGGTTAAGTGTTACCAAACTCAGGACCCTGCATTCACTATATATGGTCTCCCACAGTACACAGAAAATGGAAATGCAAATATTTTAGTAAATATAAATACCTTTTCTCATCAGCAGTTAGAGCAGCCTTGTGACTTCCATCAGTGTCCAGCCGAGCACTGGGTAAAGCTTGTAGGAGGAGTTTTCATTCTCCTCTCACTGTCCTATGAGACTGCACTGCCCTATCAGAACTGTCTGGACAGTGCTGATTGGCCCTGTGCTGATCACATGCACTCTCCCCAGAAAAAAAAAAAAACCCCTCTCTAGCAATACACACCAAACTGAGAATGTGCAGCTTTCCCCCCAAAGATCTGTTCTATCAGATGAGTTGGGGACAGCGGAAGAAGGGAAGGAGCAGGGATGACAGGATTAAACATCCTTTTTACACTATGCAAAGGATTAAACCTTTAAGTTCCACAGTGAATATAACAAGCATGCTTTACAGTATATACAGATTGATTTTACAGTTGTGGGTTTAGTAACACTTTAAGTATGCTATGTGAATAGGCACATACAACAAATATAAAGAGGGTGTTATCCAAATTTGGCTGCACAAGTGTAAACACACCTTAAATGCTAAGTTCACCCTTGGAGCATGTTACATGTAATACCCATATTTAGGGTGTAACATGTAACATGGGTTCCTCTCCCTACACCTGCTTTCACATTTCAAAGTCGGTGTGACTGTGTGGGACTCTGCCACACAGCACTGCCATCCATTCACAGAGATCTGTGAATGAGAAAACCACAAGTCCTGTCTGCTACTGTAGCAATCAGCTTGCAGTTCTCACCCACTAATCATGGGTGCAATGTTTTGCAGGTTCCTCGGGGAAAAATACAATTTTCCTACAAAAAGATGTGCATTTATTATTTTTTCCCCAAAGGTGATCTTGGCCCTTAAGTTTCCCTACGCTTTCTAAAAATGTAAAACTTTGTGGCTAAAGATACACTTCAGCTCTCGGAAAGGCCAAGATAACCAATGAAAGATTTTAAAGACCCTCTATCTGTAAATGACACAGTGAGATGTGAAATGCTGTTGCATACTTACACTTACAGGGAACTGGAGACAACTTTAATGCACAGGTATCAGCAACCAAGACAGTCTCTCCTTTCCTGTTATTTACTTGTGTGGAGGCAAATATCCTTGCTGCAGAACCTACAAAAAAAGAACACAACACAGAAAGATGTTGGTATCCTTATGCAGTATTACATTAACTGATAACATTTAAGACTAGAAAAAATTGGCATTCAACATAAGGCATCTGTGATCTCTGCACAGCTATGGTAGCTTTATTATGTTCATAAATGCCACTCCAGTTTTCAGCTACTGTATAAGTGAGCATTGTTAGCCAGTAGTTGTTTCTTTGGATACTACAGATATCAAAACAGATCAGGTGTATTCAGGCAGACAAAAAAGAAAAAGTGATGTTACTAAAGCAGAGAACTCGAGCCAAAAAGCAAAAGATACAGCGGAAAAAACAGACATAATTACATAACTGAACTAAAGGCCGATTTTTTAAATATTTATCTAGAGTTCTGCTTCTATTTGGTTTTAAAACCAAAACATTTTTATAATTTTGTATAGAACATTTATGTTTTAGACATCTGACAGACTAATTGTAATCTGTGTGCCTATATTATTGCATGATAGCTCAGGAAAATAAGGGAAAATCTCCAACAAGGACAAAAATATCCCGGCAGAGGTTCCAACCCACAAAACAAACTAGTTATCAATATAGACCATGACTTTTGGTGCTGATGGTTCTGGAGCCCAATAAGGAAAGCATTCTAATTTAGGGATTATTTTGAGCTGTTAACTTGTGTAATCACTGGACCTCCAGACAGCTGTCCTCTGTACTCAGTGTACTCAGTTCATCAGCTCCCAATACAGAGTAGGTGGCAATAAGACCAATTCCATTCCACCCCCCATAGCCTGCAGGACGGCTCTCCACAAAGCATGCTGCCCAAAGTGAAGCAGCATGTCACTAACAAACATTTAACAATTCCCTATATAATGCCTGCTGGCTCTGTATTATTTTGATATGGGTATTATAAAATCAGCAAATGTAAACAGCTTAGGTTTGCATTGCAAATTTAAGTTGTGTCTGAAGCTCACAAAGGCAAAATCTCAGGTGCTTCACTACAAATTCTTGCCATAATTTAAAACCATACTTATATACTTTGCGCAAAAGATAAGAAAAAACGTCATTACAGCAAGCATACATGTCAGCTATAGTCCATTTATACATTATATTGCCAAAAGTATTGGGCCAGCCCTCCAAATCATTGGATTCAGGTGTTCCAATCACCTCCATGGCCACATGCGTATAAAATCAAGCACCTAGGCATGCAGACTGCTTCTACAAACATTTGTGAAAGAATGGGTTTGCTCTCAGGAGCTCAGTGAATTCAAGCGTGGTACTCTGATAGATTGCCACACCTGTGCAATAAATCCATATGTGAAACGTCCTTGTTACTAAATATTCCACGGTCAACTGTTAGTGGTATTATAACAAAGTGGAAGCAACTAAAAACAACAGCAACACAGCCACTAAGTGGTAGGCCACGTAAAATGACAGAGCGGGGTCAGCACATGCTGAAACACACAGTGCGCCAACTGTCTGCAGAGTCAATAGCTAAAGAGCTCCAAACTTTGTGTGGCCTTCAGATTAGCACAACAGTGCATAGAGAGCTTTATGGAATGGACTTCCATGGCTGAATAGCTGCATCCAAGCCTTACATCACCAAGTGCAATGCAAAGCGTCAGATGCAGTGGTGTAAAGCACGCCGCCACTTGACTCTAGAGCATTGCAGACGTGTTCTCTGGAGTGACTAATCACGCTTTTCTGTCTGGCAATCCAATGAACGTGTCTGGATTTGGCGGTTGACAGGATTACAGTACTTGCCTGACTACATTGCGCCAAGTGTAAAGTTTGAGGAGGGAAGATTATGGTGTGGGGCTGTTTTTCAGGGGTTGGTCTTGGCCCCTTAGCTCCAGTGATGGGAACTCTTAAGGCGTCAGCATTTCAGCATTTGGACAATTTCATGCTCCCAACTTTGTGGGAACAGCTTGGGAACCAGTGCACAAAGCAAGCTCCATGAAGACATGGATGAGCGAGTTTGGGGTGGAGGAACTTGACTGGCCTGTACAGAGTCCTGACCTCAACCCGATAGAATACCTTTGGGATGAATTAGAGCAGAGAATGCGAGAACCAGGCCTTCTCATCCCACATCAGTGCCTGACCTCACAAATGTTCTTCTGGAAGAATGGTCAAACATTCCCATAGACACACTCCTAAACCTTGTGGACAGCCTTCCCAGAAGTTGTTATAGGTGCAAAGGCAGGGCCAACTCAATATTGAACCCTACGGACTAAAACTGGGATGCCATTAAAGTTCATGTGCTGGTAAAGGCAGATATGCCCAGGGCTGTGGAGTCGGTAGTAAATGTTCCGACTCCGACTCCTCAGGTTTTTGTACTTCCGACTCCGACTCTGACTCCCCGACTCCTCTGTATTAATATGCGAATATATTTTATACATTCCTTGAAGGAAAGAAAGGCAACATACATGTCATTATACAGGACTACTGGCTGGGAAGCCAACAGTCTACTGTATTGAACAGTTTAAGCAAAAGACAAACACAATGAAAACAACAAAGTTTTATTAATTTTTTTTGATTAATTAATCAAGTGGCTGGATAGTAGCAGCAGGCATAAACATCAGGAACAGGAACTTTACCAGTCCAAAAATACAAACCACATTATTTGGTTGTTTTAGAACAAAAACAAAGCTTATCTATATGAACCAAAAACAAAATCTGTAAAACCTAGAAATGGTTTATATTAATCTTTAAATGTAGTTATAGGCTTAGCAAATGCAAATCAATTCAATGTAGAGTTCTAAGGAAGAGAATTGCCTCTGCCAGATCCTTTCATAGAGGCTCTTAAGTCAGACTTTATTATTTTTAGGGCTGAAAATAATCTTTGGACACTGACTTGGGTGGGTGGCATTGCAGTTACTATTCTGGCCACATCACTAACGATCTCTGGATAAACAAGGATGGCTTCTTCAACAGTAAGTTTTGATGAGCGATCATACTTTTCAACTTCTTCTAGTGCTTTATAAAACTCCTGTTGGAATTTTTTTATTTGGACATTTACTGGTTCTGTAACGCTTAGTGGGAGGATCCAGGAAGGGGCATTTATTATAAAACATGATTTCCCTAGTAGAATCCCATAGTCATGTTTAAAGTTTAAGCTAACAATCGGAGTTTAAAAGTTTTTATAGTCTTAGCTAAATTTTTTTCCAATGGTTTACAGCTTCAGTCTTGAACTATTGACCCTCCGTTCCCTTCACTTATACAAGGGTCTCTAGTCCTGCAAAAAATATATTTACTTAATCCCTTATCAGTGAGAGGCTAGGTTACCCATGGGCGCTGCGTTCCCTGTAACAGCAGAACAACACTATGGAAAGTAGAAGTATTGCCGCTCCTAATTGTGCGTTGCGTGCCATATAGTGAAGCACATGAAAAGCATGCTTCTTCACGGTCACTTAACGTGTTCGTTTTGCGGTTACGTGAGGCACTGCATGCATTGGTCTTTATTCGTACAGTAGAGAAGTCATTCATTATAACTTTTTGTGAATTGGGACATTTAAACTTGCTTTTTTTTTAATTCCAATCTAAATTTAATTGGAGTCGGAGTCGGAGCATTGTTTGCAGACTCCGACTCCAGGTACCCAAAATTTCCTCCGACTCCACAGCCCTGGATATCCCAATACTTTTGGCAATATAGTGTATAAAAAAAAAAAAACAGTGATTTGAGCTGTCTCCATAAAAAATACAACATATGAAACAAGTATACCCAGTGAATATTTTTCTGTTGTCATTGTCTTGGATCTTGCTCCTTATTTGAACTACAGAGTTTCACTTTAACCACTTGAGCCCCAGAGGATTTACCCCCCTTAATGACCAGGCCTTTTTTTGCTGTTTAGGCGCTGCACTAATTCAAATGATAATTGCGCGGTCATGCAATGCTGTACCCAAACGAAATTTTTACGTCCTTTTTTTCACACAAATAGAGCTTTCTTTTGGTGGTATTTGATCACCTGTGCGCTTTTTATTTTTTGCGCTATAAACAAAAAAACCACGAAAATTTTTAAAAAAAAACAATATTTTCTACTTTCAGCTATAAAAAATATATCGTAAACTCAAAGTTAGTCATAAATTTAGGCCAAAATGTATTCTGCTACATGTTTTTGGTAAAAAAAAATCCCAATAAGTGTATATTGATTGCTTTGTGTGAAAGTTATAGCGTCTACAAACTATCGTATAGATGCTGTAATTTATGCCTTTTTTTGCTATACAGCGCTGCACTAATTCAAATGATAATTGCGCGGGTCATGCAATGCTGTACCCAAACGAAATTTATGTCCTTTTTTTCACACAAATAGAGCTTTCTTTTGGTGGTATTTGATCACCTGTGCGCTTTTTATTTTTTGCTATAAACGCTATAAAAAAAAAAAACAATATTTTCTACTTTCAGCTATAAAAAATATATCGTAAACTCAAAGTTAGTCATAAATTTAGGCCAAAATGTATTCTGCTACATGTTTTTGGTAAAAAAAATCCCGTGCATTAGCGGGCAAACTAGCGCTATCTAGGAGGGGCGCTAACACTATCGGAAGTCACCAGTGACACTAATACAGTGATCAGTAAAAATATGTTCACTGTAATCAATGACACTGGTGACAGGGCAATGAAGGGGTTAACTGAGGGGGGAGGGGGGCGATCAAGGGGTTAAATGGGATTTCTGGTGCACTAGCGGGCAAACTGGCGCTATCTGGGAGGGGTGCTAACACTATCGGAAGTTTGCCAGCGACACTGATACAGTGATCAGTAAAAATCTGTTCACTGATCAATGACACTGGTGACAGAGTAGTGAAGGGGTTAACTGGGGGGGGGGGGGATTAAGGGGTTAAATGGGATTACTGGTGTACTAGCGGGCAATCTGGTGCTATCTGGGAGGGGAGCTAACACTATCGGAAGTCACCAGCGACACTGATACAGTGATCAGTAAAAATTGGTTCACTGATCAGTGACACTGGTGACAGGGCAGTGAAGGGGTTAACTGGGGGGGGCGATCAAGGGGTTAAATGGGATTACTGGTGTACTGGCGGGCAAACTGGCGCTATCTGGGAGGGGCGCTAACACTATCGGAAGTCGCCAGCGACACTGATACAGTGATCAATAAAAATTGGTTCACTGATCAGTGACACTGGTGACAGGGCAGTGAAGGGGTTAACTGGGGGGGGGGGGCGATCAAGGGGTTAAACGGGATTACTGGTGTACTGGCGGGCAGTCTGGCGCTATCTGGGAGGGGCGCTAACACTATCGGAAGTCGCCAGCGACACTGATACAGTGATCAGTAAAAATCGGTTCACTGATCAGTGACACTGGGGGACAGGGCAGTGAATGGGTTAACGGGGGGGGGGGGGGGGGGGGGGGAGAGATTAAGGGGTTAAATGGGATTACTGGTGTACTAGCGGGCAATCTGGCGCTATCTGGGAGGGGCGCTAACACTATCGGAAGTCGCCAGCGACACTGATGCAGTGATCAGTAAAAATTGGTTCACTGATCAGTGACACTGGTGACAGGGCAGTGAAGGGGTTAACTGGGGGGGGGCGATCAAGGGGTTTAAATGGGATTACTGGTGTACTGGCGGGCAAACTGGCGCACTATCTGGGAAAGGGCGCTAAACACTATCGGAAGTCGCCAGCGACACTGATACAGTGATCAATAAAAATTGGTTCAGTGATCAGTGACACTGGTGACAGGGCAGTGAAGGGGTTAACGGGGGGGGGGGGGGGATTAAGGGGTTAAATGGGATTACTGGTGTACTAGCGGGCAATCTGGTGCTATCTGGGAGGGGCGCTAACACTATCGGAAGTCGCCAGCGACACTGATGCAGTGATCAGTAAAAATTGGTTCACTGATCAGTGACACTGGTGACAGGGCAGTGAAGGGGTTAACTGGGGGGGGCGATCAAGGGGTTAAATGGGATTACTGGTGTACTGGCGGGCAAAAACTGGCGCTATCTGGGAGGGCGCTAACACTATCGGAAGTCGCCAGTGACACTGATACAGTGATCAATAAAAATTGGTTCACTGATCAGTGACACTGGTGACAGGGCAGTGAAGGGGTTAACTGGGGGGGGGGGGGCGATCAAGGGGTTAAACGGGATTACTGGTGTACTGGCGGGCAGTCTGGCACTATCTGGGAGGGGCGCTAACACTATCGGAAGTCGCCAGCGACACGGATACAGTGATCAGTAAAAAAAAATGGTTCACTGATCAGTGACACTGGTGACAGGGCAGTGAAGGGGTTAACTGGGGGGGGGGGGGGCGATCAAGGGGTTAAACGGGATTACTGGTGTACTGGCGGGCAAACTGGCGCTATCTGGGAGGGGCGCTAACTCTATCGGAAGTCGCCAGCGACACTGATCTGTAAAAATCGCTTCACTGATCAGTGACACTGGTGACAGGGCAGTGAAGGGTTAACTGGGGGGGGGGGGGCGATCAGGGGGTTAAATGTGTCCTAGAGTGTTCTAACTGTAGTGTAGTGCTTGTGTACTCACTTTTTGGATGTCTTCTTCTCTGTCTGGAACGGAATGTGTCCAGGCAGAGAAGAATGACATCAAATCCTGCCCTGTGTATTTGTCAACACAGGACAGGATAGGACAGGGACCGATCATGTGATTTCAGCCAGAAATCACTGGCTGAAATCTAATGATTGATCCCTCCTGGATAAAATCGGATCACCCACGGGTCGGCGGGACGAGCGCGCGCGTGCGCCCCCTGCCGGCAAAAGTGTCGGGAGCGCGGAACCCGTTTTTAAACGTGGTTTTGCGCTCCACTGCCGCCCTGCACACG